CCAGGAAGAAATTTTTTCTAATATAGAATCATCGAATCATTGAATTATGAAGGTTGGACAAGACCTCCAGGACCATCAAGCCCAACCGTCAACCCAACCCCACCCAACCGTGTCCCAAAGCCCCACACTGGAGTCACCATCCCTGGAGGGGTCAAGAAACATGTGGATGTGGTGCCTGGGGACACGGTTGGGTGGGGTTGGGTTGATGGTTGGACTTGGTGGTCCTTGAGGTCTTCTCCAGCCTTCATGATTCGATGATTCTAAGACGTGGAGCTCATGGAACGGGTCCAGAGGAGGCCACAGAGATGATCAGCAGATCCTGTGGAGAAGGGTTGAGGGAACGGGGCTTGTTCAGCTTGGAGAGGAGAAGGCTCCGGGGAGACCTCATTGTGGCCTCCCAGCGCCTGAAGGGAGCCCATCAGCAGGAGGGGGAGCGACTGGTACGGGGTTGATAGCGACAGGACGAGGGGAACGGTTTAAACTAAGAGACGGGAGATTTGGGGTGGATATTGGGCAGAAATTTTCACGCAGAGGGTGGTGAGGCTGTGGCCCAGGTTGCCCAGAGAAGCTGTGGATGCCCCATCCCTGGAGGGGTTCAGGACCAGGCTGGATGGGGCCCTGGGCAGCGTTGGGGTTGGAACTTGATGATCTTCGAGGTCCTTTTCCACCCAGGCCATTCTGTGATTCTCAGAATATTTTTGGAAGGGCTTCCAAAGTCCTTCTCGTAGCGTTGGGTCACTCGCGATGGCAAATCCGAGTCAACGCTCCGAAAATCTCAGCTGGGTTGAAGCCCAAAAAATACGACGTCAAAACTAATCTTGATTTCTTTGCTCGGTTCTAGACAAAAAAAGGAGTGAAGAGGAAAGCAGACACCACGACCCCAACGACCATCGACCCAATCCATGAATCGTCATCGCTTCCCACCGAACCCAAATCAACCAAGTTGGGTCCACGGCGGGAAAGCAGCCGCCCGGTTAAACCTCCAAAGAAGGACGTTCCAGATTCTCAACAACACGCTGTAGAAAAAAGTAGCAAAATATCCGAGCAGTTAAAATACTGCAGCGGGATCATCAAAGAAATGTTCGCCAAGAAACATGCTGCCTACGCCTGGCCCTTCTACAAACCTGTGGATGTGGAAGCACTGGGACTGCACGATTATTGCGATATCATTAAACATCCCATGGATCTGAGCACAATCAAAGTAAGCTCAGGTTTAGAGGAGGGGGAGGTCGGGAGCTGAGCAGGGGGAGGGGAAAAAAAAAAAATATTTTCTCCCCGTGTGTGTGCATCAAACATCTTGGGATGTCTGCCAGGTTTGTTTTGGCTGGGGGTTTCTGGTACGTTCGGTCTCTTTTCTTCTCCTCTTGCTGTTATCATGGAAAAAAAAAAAACCAAGTTGTCGGGCTCTTAGGAAGGGGTCGCATGGGTTTTTTTATAGAAAATTTCCATTACTGCAGGAATCTGCCCTTTTCTTTTAGCCCAGGAGATGGCCTCAGAGAGCAGGAATCAGGGGATTTGCTTTAAACCAGCCCCGCTTTCAATTCTTCTTAAAATAAAAGCCCGTCGTGCTGAAGGTGTCCGTCTAAATCACTCGCAGGTAGTTCCCTCTCCTTTAAAATTCCTTCAAGAGACTTGAAACCTGAATTAATTCATGGAGTGTTCTAATTGTAAAAAGCGATTGCGAAGTCATCCCTTTCTCCGAGAAACCTTCATTCATGATTCAGAAGTCTAACTTCAGCTAGGAAGCCTGAATTCTTTATTTAGAAGTCTTTAAATTTTTCATTATCAAACCTTTCAATCCAGAGGAGTAAATTTCCCTCCCCACAGGCGACGTCCCACCGAGAGCCGTGGCTCTTCCTTCGTCACTGGAGGATCTCGATGGGCCAGACCTTGGAGACACCAAATTAAATTCTTGGTTTTCTCCTTTCTCGCCAGTGGGGAGCGTTGGGTCTCACAGGTCCGTCGCTGCCTGGACGTCTGGCTGGCCAGCTGTCTGGCAGGGCCGCGGGGCTGAGCTCACCCTTGGCAGATGCTCAAACAGCTGGTGGACGTTCTTCGCCTTCCAGTTGTCCAACTCAACCCTGCTTTCCCAGGGCGGCAGAAGGAGCCGTGAAGCTTTTCTTGGCTCAGCTGCTGTTGCTGCAGCTGGATGCAGCGTTCGGGGGGGAAAAGAGGGGTCATCTCAAGAATATCTCCACCCGGATCAGTCCTCCCAGCTCCATGGAGGCTTGGGACGCGAGCAGGTGGCCGTAGAGCAGGTCTGTCCCCTCCATGGGTGGAGCTCTCAGCTCTAGAGACACCAGTGTGGGTCTTGGAGGAGGGTTGGGTGGTAGAAGGCAGGTGAGATGGTTGAGTTCTGTTCCCTGTGTCAGCAAAGCCCGTCATGGTCTTCCAACGTTGGGTGGAGGTCCATCCAGGTGTCCTCTGTCCCTCCAACGCTGCTGAAAGAACTTCTGAGATCTTCCTTCTGCAGGGAACGATCCAGAACTCACTGTTTTCTTCTTCTAACGCGTGATCTCGGGAGCGCAGAGGTTCAGCCCTTCTTGGGTGAGGTCAGGCAGAGCCCAGCTTCGTACTCCCCGGTTCTTGATCCGAACCGCTGCCGTCAACCGCGTAGCCAGCGAGAAGGTGGCTTGGAGAGCCCAGAGTCCTCTTCTGAACATCCTCTAGAGCTCCAAGCTCTAGAGACACCAACTTTAGCTCTTGGAGGAGGGTTGGGTGGTGGAAAGCAGGTGAGATGGTTGAATCCTGCATCAAGAAAGCCCATCATGGTCTTCCATCGTTGGGTGGAGGTCCATCCAGGTGTCCTTTGTACCACCGACGCCACTCAAACGACTTCTGAGATCTTCCTTCTTCAGGGAACAATCCAAAACTCACCATTTTCTTCTTCTAACGCATGATCTTGAACGCGCGGAGGTTCAGCCCTTCTTGGGTGAGGTCAGGCAGAGCCCAGCTTCGTACTCCTGGCCTTCAACACGGCATCTGTGTCCGGTTCTTGATCCGAACCGCTGCCGTCAACCACGTAGCCAGCGAGAAGGTGGCTTGGACAGCACAGAGTCCTCTTTCAAACATCATCGAGGATGCCTGACGTTGGCTCTAATTTTTGATAAACCAGCTGCAATCCTTCATTTGGCCAAAATCAGTCATTTCTTTCACCAAAATTAGTCATTTGTTTGATCCAAATCAGTCCTTTGACCAAGATAAGTCATTCTTCTGACCAGAATTAGTGTTTTGACCAAAATTAGTCGTTCTTTTGACCAAAACGAATCGTTTTGACCAAAATCAGTCTTTTGACCAAAATGACTCAGTCTTTTGACCCAAATTAGCCCTTTGCCCAAAATCAGTCATTTCTTTTGACCAAAATCCGCACTTTGACCAAAATTTGTCCTTTCCAACGCAAGGAGAAAGCGGGTGCGTGAAATCCGTGGGCGCCTGGGGCTGTTGTATTTCCTCCGTCACTCGTTGGTGTATTTACACCATCCATAGCAGAACATTTTGTTGTGTTTTTTTTTTTTTTTTTCTCTAGTCTAAACTGGAGACCCGGGAATACCGAGATGCTCAGGAATTTGCGGCGGACGTACGGCTGATGTTCTCCAACTGCTACAAGTACAACCCCGCCGACCACGAGGTGGTGGCCATGGCACGGAAGCTGCAGGTAGGGACGCGCCTCGTCGCCTCCTTCGCTTTTCCGACGTCTCTTGATTTATTTTTCCAGCGTACGGGCCCCGTAGTCTTGAAATAACATGAAAAAAACGCCGGCGTGGTCGATAACGGTAAAAAAAAAAAAATGTTTTTTGCTGGGGATGTGATACAAGGACTGAGCTGACGCAGCTTAATTTATTTCTTTAAATTATTTTATTTTTTTCTTGCGTCTTTTTGGCGTCCTCATAGCTTTTTGATAAAGGAGTAGGAAGGGAAAAGGTGGCTCCAAAATGTCACTTTTCTCCCCAAACCACCTGGAAAGAAAACAAGCGACAGCGCCTGCTGGCTTTTGCTGCTTCCATCACCTCTTTCCCCGCGTTCTCCCGGGGAATTCTGCTCCCCGCTCCTTCCCCAAGGGGTTGTGATTAGTTAATGAGCTGCTAATGAAGCCCCCCCGGCTCAAGTGAAGAGTTTGGCTTAACACAAAAAATCATCTCAATTCCCTCGTTTCTTATTAATTCGGAGACGCTCCGTGGGGTCGTCCGGTCAAAGCAGGAAAATCCTTCGCTCCGGGCGGATCCGGGAGAGCGACGGCGAGGGGCCGGAGAGCGCCGACGTTCCTTTTTCCATCCTTAAAAACCCTCGGCCGTCCCCCAGAGCCGTGATTTCAGGCCGGTCGTTCCCTTAAGTGCTGATTTTTCCCTTTTTTTGGTGGATTGTGGGCGCGTTTTCTAAGGAAATCAGGATTCCTGACGGACGCCGCTGGGTCCCTCCAGAAAAACTTCCCAGGGTCGCGTTTGCTCCCGACCGAGCGGCTCTGAAATCCCCCAAATCCGCGCGGAGCTGCCAGGAAATCGCCTGGATCGCGGCGTGAGAGCGACAGGAGCCGAATCCGGAAGGAAAAGGGTTTTATTGGCGTAAAAAAACCCCAAGTCCGGCCGCGAGGAGCGGAACGAGGAGGCGGCGAAGCTCCGGCTGCGTGAAATCGGAGGAAAATCGACGTGGGTTGGGCTGAGCGTCGGAAAACTGGTTGAGTTGCGGCAGAAAGGGGACGAGAGATGGGGAAAAACTGTTAAATTGGGGGGAAAACGGTTAAATTGGAGGAAAAAGTGTTAAATTGGAGGAAAACTTAAATTGGAGGGGGAAGCTATTAAATTTTGGGAGAAAACTATTGAATTGAGAAAACTATGAAATTGGAAGGAAAAAAATTGGAGGAAAAACTACTAAACTGGAGGAAAAACTAATGGGGGAAAAGTTAAATTTTGGGGGAAAAACTATTAAATTGGGGGAAAAAGTGTTAAGTTGGAAGGAAAAACTACTAAATCAGGGGGAAAACTATTAAATTGGGGGGAAAACTTAAATTGGTGGGAAAACTATTAAATTTTGGGGAAAACTTGGAGGAAAAAAAATTTGGGGGAAAAGTATTAAATTTGGGGGGAAAGTGTTAAATTTGGGGGAAACCAGTTAAACTTTGGGGAAAACTGTTAAATTGGAGGAAAAACTTAAATTTTGGGGAAAACTTGGAGGAAAAAATTTGGGGAAAAGTATTAAATTGGAGGAAAAACTACTAAATTGGGGGAAAAACTATTAAATTTTGGGGGAAACTTAAATTGGGGAAAAACTTAAATTGGAGGAAAAACAAAGTGGGGGAAAAACTGTTAAATTGGAGGGAAAACTGTTAAATTTGGGGAAAACTTGGAAAAAAATTGGGGGAAAACTATTAAATTGGGGG